GCACTCCTGAAATGAATTCGTTTGCCGAGCGATCTGGGGGGTGATAATAGCAAGGATGAGATCACTTCTCGAAGACTCTAAGCTCCCTAAGAATCTCTGGCCGGAAGCAGCGCAAGCAGCTATCTATATACTAAACAGATCGCCCACCAAGCTCAATGATGGCCGCTGGATCATCCCACAACAGGAGTTTCACCAGCAAGGAACTAGCACATGGGTTCCGATCAACCTATCAAATCTTCGAGTATACGGTTGTCGCACCTACGTCAGAATTCAGGGGATCCCTCAATCCGATAAAATGCATCGCCGAGCTGAAATTGGCTACTTGGTCGGATATAAAACAGGCAACATCTGGAAAATCTGGTTTCCTAGGTCTAATACCAGCAAGTACGTCCGAGACGCAGTGTTCGATGAGAATATGAACTATTCACACCAGCCGAAAGAAGCTCCAATCATCAGCCAGATACCCTACACAGAGGTTTTCGATCAGGAAGAGCTTGAAGCAGAGCTTGAGCAGGCCCTACGCCGACTTGCTACATCACCAATCATACAAAATGAGCCACAAGATCCGCAAGAAGCAATTGAGACCCGATCTCAACAAATGCCAATTGAACAAGCCGAAGCATCACAACAAGTGTCAAAACTTCAACAATCCACTTCGCCACAATGGCAACAAGTGACCCCGTCACTCACTCCACGAATGACTCCGCTGCCAGCGAGTCTTCCGCCAAGTCCGATACCAAGCGAGGTGCCGCTGCCGACCAGCGTACCAAACTCGCCATTACCGGCACCACTCACGGCCATTCCATATGAGCCTGTTACACCGGATCAAGCGCTTCGTCCAGCTTATCCGCAAGCACCAGAACGAACAGCATTCAAGCAAGTGGACGTAGTTCCAGTACGACCAATTGTCTACACTCCGTCAAGTCCAGCACCGGCCTCCTCTCCAGATCAGCAAGTTCCGGGAAGCTTCCCCACAGCTTCACAAGGTCACCAAGCCATTCGAGATATTAACGGAGACGTCTCTACAGACAACGTTATCCAAGGCACTCGAAGAAGGACAGTGAGAAAGGACCCATACCTTGCGAGTTACTTCACGTACGATGACCAAGATGACCATGAAGGCGTACTAGCTGCATTTGCTTCCGCGCTCTCATCCACTCGCCCAGAACCTCGCTACCATCGCGATGATCTTACTCCTGAACCCCAAAGCTGGAAGGAAATGATTAATCATCCGTTTCGGGACGGTTTCATGGCCGCAGCAGGCCTCGAAGTGGAATCTATCAAGCTCCGTCAAACATTCAAAGTTGAACCACGCCCTCAGGACCGCAGCATTCAGGTCCTACCACTCAAGTGGGTTTTCAACTATAAGTATGACAGCAATGGTTTCCTCACCAAGCTTAAAGCACGAATCTGTGTTCGAGGCGACCTACAAACCATTAGCTCAGACGACAAGCGAGCCGCCACGCTTGCTGCCCGTACAGCCCGTGCAATATTCGCACTCGTTGCTGCATTTGACCTAGGAACCTTCCAACTCGACGCTGTTAACGCATTTCTCAATAGTGATCTCGACGAAGAGGTGTATACGTATATGCCTGAAGGTTTCCACGATTCAACAAGCGTCTGGAAGCTCCTTAAAGCACTTTATGGCTTACGCAAGTCTCCGAAACTATGGCAGCAAGAAGCCACACGCGTTCTTAGAAAGCTTGGATTTCAGCACGTACCAGAGGATATATGCCTATTCACGAGAAATGGAGTCATTGTGTTCTTTTATGTGGACGATATAATTATCGTCTACCACCGAGCGAGATACCAGGAAGCTTTAACGCTGCGCCAACAGCTTAAAGAGCACTGGGAACTTCGGGACATAGGAGAAGCAAGCTGGTTTCTCGGCATTCGCATCCTCCGGGATACTAAGCAGCATAAGCTATGGCTTTGCCAGGATTCCTATATCGCATCAATGGCCGCCAAGTATGGTCTTACCAACGGACGAAAGGTTACAACACCTCTACCAGTCAATCGCATGACTCGGTATACGGGACAAGCAACTAAGGAGCAGATTCACGAATACCAGCAGAAGGTAGGATCAGTCATCTATCCAACAGTCATCACACGTCCAGATGCTGCCAAAGCAGCAAATCACTTGGCCGAGTTCCTCACGAACCCCGGACCCGAACACCGAGAAGCAGCAAACCGCCTTATCCAGTATCTCTACCAAACAAGGTTCCTTGCTCTCGAGTATCATCCAACTCTCACGGAGTCTGCACTCCACTTCTTTAGCGATGCATCATTCGGAGATCACGTTGATCGGAAAAGCTCAGAAGGCTTCCTCTGTAAGCTGTTTGGAGCAGCAGTCGACTGGAAAGCCAGCAAGCAACGAACCGTCACAACGTCGACAACTGAAGCCGAGCTGCTAGCTATATCTGAGGCTGGCAAGTCAGCTATGTGGTGGAAAAGGCTACTTCACGCAGTCAATCTCGACTATCAATCAGGACTAGACATCCACTGCGACAATCAGCAAACCGTCGATCTTCTCACTAAGGAGCAACCTCAGCTTCGCACCAAGCTTCGCCACGTCGATATCCACAATAACTGGCTTCGTCAAGAAGTTGAAGCCGGCACTATCTCAATCAAATGGGTTCCCACAGCCGAAATGGCCGCCGATGGACTCACTAAGCTGCTTCCATCACAGTCCCATGCGCAATTCATTCAGACACTAGGATTGGTCGACATTAAGCACTTGGTGGAGGACAAAGTGGCATGAAAGAGAAGCAGAATGGCTGCTGAGGGGGTGTGTCAAGAAAAGCGGTCCTTACAGTACTAGCTTACTCGAGTTTTAGCAGCACCCATTTTTGCTTACTCATTTGCTACAGTATAAATGGCTACTTCGCCAAGCCATTCACCGCTTCATGAGCATTGGTTAAATAGCGCAGCATCAGCTTGTCCTAGAATTTACACTCATTCTATGATATCAAGGCCGACCAATGGTCTGTTGTAGAACTAGCGCGTACCGTATCTCTTGGAATCGACACTTATGTCCAGTCACTGTACCAGCGTTCGCACTGGTACCTCGTCTGCGCAGGGGGGAAATGGTGCGTAATTTATACCAAATGGGTACTTCCAGTCCCCTGTGTACCCCCCCTTAGACCACGCTGGCCTCTACTTAAGTCTGTCACTCTTCCACCTTCTGTAAACAAACAATTGTCCTTTCCATTCTCTCTCTTCTTGCTGACTCACCTCTGACTCAATTTCCCCAGAGTCTGGATCTCCGGTGCCGTGATGACAGCGTGGCCTTGACTAGGTTAATCTCATCTTACTGTACCCTTCAAGTGTCTTCATCTGAATAGAACCTTGTATCAAGGAACATGGATACACTGCCCACAGAAATACGATTCCACTAGAGCTCTGGAGAGGCAGCACGTGGACTGAGGTATCCTGAAGCATTTTGTGGCGCATTGCGTTCGGCTACTGAAACCAACAAGGAGACCAATATGCCTGGGAGAGACCAGCCACTGGACGCACATTGGCCAGAAGGCAAAATCTAAACATACTAGCCCGTTGAACCTATCGCAACTAGAAGATTTTGATGAAAGATATTATTACGCCGATTTACCACGCGTAACGAGGGTCCGTAATACTTCTGAAAGGGGCAGTGTAGTGTTGTTCTGGCTATTGATTGGTAGAGCTACATCAGCCACGGTTGTTCCAACACTACTGTTTCGGCCAGGCTGAGACATTGGAGTCTCCGGACCGTTCTTTGCCCCTCCGAGTTTGTGGTCCACAGGACTGCGATTGGTGGAATCATGGCGTATCATTTCATGCGAGATGGGTCTGCCGACGGTGCGCTCACACAGTTGCATCAAGACCGAACAAATATAAAAGCGTGCTTAATGGGCTGGTTTTCGTCATATTCCGCTCAGTTGTTCATCATCGATTGACTACGGAGTACTATATCTGCCTTCTACCCTGCAGTTGAACCAAACCAATCAACATGAAGCTCTCTATTCTTGCCCTTGTCTCCAGCTTGGTAGCCTGCACGGTCGCTAGTCCTCTGGATACACCAGCAGAGCGAAGTGTCAACCCTGCTGGCTCAGTTATCGGAAGTCTTGAAAAGAGAGGTTGTAGCAGCATTGGCTGCTGCTCCTGCGACGGGGGCTATGTCGTCGCTTGTTGCGTAAGCTCCCCATGCCCTTCTCCTTTTCAATTTGAAAACCGCATATCATGACTGATTTTGTTCCCAGAATGGCTGTAGTGGTTGCCCTTAAGAAAGGTGTTTGGAGAATCTCCGCATTTGCTGCTGAAATCAAAGCGTTCATCAACTCACAGCTAGTGCTGTATCCAGTGTGCTGCTGTAGGAAAGGGGGCGGTGGTGGCTGGTGGGTGTGGCGGAGTGGAGTGGAGGAGCCGCTGTCTTTAAGTCTGATTGGAGTACCTGGTTGCTTCTCCCTTGCCTAGCAAACAGTCCACTTTCTGTATTTCATGTAGATCCGCTGCAGAACTTTGAATCCTCATTATAGTGGTACCTTGATATTATATTATAGATCCTTCTTTTGATACCCAGTTAAGATCAAGAAATTCTGTAGCCAGAGAATGGTTGAAGAAAAATACACCTTAGTACAGTGGCACTGCAAAAGTCTGCGACCCCCAAAGTATCGCGCTAATATTATGCCGGCAATTAGCGTCTGTACCACTCACAAACTATTATTAGCGGACGGTGTGTCCCTTATAAGGAGGCGGTAAAGAAAGGTACTTTGGGGGGTCACCGACTTTTGCGGTGCTCGAATAAAAACCGTACTAGGGCATTGGGCTGGGCACGGGATTGGGCCACTTGACCACACAGAGAGGAGAGGATATGAACTGTTTTAGACCCGCACGGCTCGCCAGCAGTGCCACTCTCACTAATAAAAAAGTATTGAACTTTTCGACTGCAGGATACCACTCTATCTCAGATATTACCATTGGAGAGCAGAGTGAAGATTCGGATCACTTATATATCATTAAACATGGTATCTGACCTTCTGTTGATCTTTTTCCTGTGGAACATTTTCCAAGGTAAATTTCTCACGCAGGCATGGTCATTGGAAGATGGCGAGGACCTCCTGTCTTTCGTTACTGTCAGTAATCCTCCCCTCCGCATAAAACATGCACTCAGAGATGGACACCTAGTTACCTCAAATTAGAGCTCCCAAGTTGAATGTGACGATCTACAACGAGCTCCATGCTGCCAGTGGATATTGGTTTGTGGCGCCGTATGGATTCTTGGCCGGCAGCCCGCCAACTGCAAAATGGGAACCATGTCAAATTGGGCCTCATATTTATGACGGTAAAGGGGTATGTGAGGACTCTTCAATGTGTAGCACAGGCATGGACAGTCTTATTAACGAACTGAAGCACCTGGTATGGAGCGGAGCTTGTCTCTTTCGAAATGAAAATACTTTCGACTTTAGGCCTATAAGCATTGACAGCGTTTCCTACTTATCATTTATTCATGGAAGTGGCTATCCTGACAGATGGAAGGGCACTGCAACACTTCTTCAGACGGCATATGGACCAGACCCTGCCATCAACATCAGCAAAAATCTTGCTGCAATCGACATGCATGAGTTCAACATCATCAACGAAGGACGATCCGCCTTGGTGATCACCTCTGAGAGGGTGGTGCAGAATCTTTCAGATCTCGGCTTCCCCGAAATGGAGACAACAATCACGATGAAGGGCTTTCGCGAAATCGATTTGGCCACGGGTGAAGTGATATTTGATTGGAACTCAACGTACATTCCTTTGAATGAAAGTTCCCTTTACTGGGATGGGTCCTCAGATGAAGAAGGGTGGGATTATCTGTGAGTGTAAAACTTGGAGTGAGGGATGACGCCTGCTAATTTTTAGACACATCAACTCTGTCGACAAAGACACAAACGGAGACTACTTAATCTCAGCTCGGTATGCCGACTGCATTTATAAGGTCTCAGGCCAGGATGGACGGATTTTGTGGCGCCTCGGTGGAAAGGCAACAAACTTCGAGTTGGATGGCTTCAACTTCTCCAAGCAACACGACGCGAGATTCTACGAGTCCAATCCATCACGTACAATCATTTCGTTTCTCGACAATGCCGGGGACGGGACATCCCAGACATCCGATTATTCTTCAGGCCTCGTGGTCATGCTTGACACGGCTGTAGCTCGGATGACTGCTACGGTGGTTGCTCGATATCCTTGCCCTGCCAAGAGTTTGTCAGTTAGTCGAGGAAATATGCAAACGCTCCCAAACAAGAATGTTCTGATCTGCTGGAGCGATGCAGGCTATCATAGCGAGTTTACTCCGGATGGGGAATGCGTCCTAGAAGCAGGGTTTGCCTCCGAACGCTTTTCAACCTACCGAGGATACAAGTTCGACTTTGTGAGCTATCCCACCGAGCCACCAATCTTGAAATGCTTTGTGCATGGAGTGAGACCTGATACGTCCACCACGGTCTGCTATATTGCTTGGAACGGTGCAACCGAAGTCGCTTCGTGGATATTCTTCACCACCACTGGCACCGTTGGCACTGTGCCCAAAGTGGACTTTGAAACTGTGTTCATGACCGATGGTCACCACAAGTCCGTCTGGGCAGAAGCAGTAGACATTTATGGAAAAACCCTGGGCCAGTCTGGCATAGTAGAAAGTGTTGTTCCATCGAGCTGGGAATCAGTGGACATTGAGGATGGTGGTATGAGTCCAGGTAAAGGTAATAGCACAGTGCCCATGGAGCTCCATCAAGTTGATGTCAAACCGTACTTTCAGAGCTATCTTTTTACAGCCACTGCGGCTCTTTCTCTTGGGATCATTTGCCTCTTAGTGGTTGTTTGTCATCGTTCCCCAATTCGTCTCGTGCGTTGTGTTTACTGCCGATAATCAAATTGGCATTGTCTAATGTGTCATTCCATGTTTCCCACAAATCGCATCGTCGTCGAACTGGCATATGATTCTTAAGGGTGTTCTGATAAAGGATGATCATTGGGATGTTTGCAGCCAGTTTCATATTGGTAGCTAGCTGTGCCGAAGTCGCAGCGAAGGACTTGGGTATCTTCCAAGAGGACCAAGATGACTACTCCATAACCAGCTTTTTGCGAACTCCGGTGGCCTGGCTTGAGCGTAAGTTCACTGATGGGGTCATTCAACTGGCACAACAGTACGGCTGACTCAACATCGGCCGTTTGAGGGAAGTTTCGGAGGAGATTGATATAGATCGGGAGCATGGCCGTCTGGTGCTTTTGAATGGGAGTCTCCCATATGCGCCGCACTATGTCAGCTTCTTCACATTTGTCAAGCAGACTCTGTCTATCCCGACTGAACTGCCCTTTTGCGAAATTGTAACCCAACTTCAACGTCCTGGAAGCCGACGCGGGAAGAAGCATTCCCTTGAGGTAGACCTTGCCTTGGAATCTTCGGTCCAGAATAAAGGTCTCCGTGTTCGGTTTCGATAATGTGCGAGGGATAAGAGAGACCGCGGATGTCCATCGTTGTTTCCATCCATTTCATCAGAACGTCAAGTGGAACTGGCTGTGCACTTTTGTCGCGCATTGTGCCGATTTCAATGGTGACGTCCCTCTCAATGCGAGAACGCAACCAAGCCATATCGTCAGTCGCGTCTGTCTGGGAGCCGGTATCAGCTTCCTTCGACGGACATATCACGCAACAAAAGCGTGATCCGGAAAGAAAATCTCCAGTGGCAGTTGCTTGCAGCAATCTTCACCTTGTAACCGTTTCGGGTCATCATCAAGGCTGCCAGCTTGAGTCCTTCCCCATGACATCCTGCAAGGTTAGTTTTGCCTTGTTTGGACGTGTGTCCAAGCTGCAAACTTTCAGGCTGAATTTGAGCATAAGAGTTCGCCAAGGTGACACGACCTGCTTTCTTATCATATTTGATATATCCCAAGGCCCGACGACGCTGATGTGGTTCCTTAGGGTCTGGTACGAATCGACACGCAGCCAATTTTATCTTCGTAGTAAGGCTGGAAATCGAGGCGATTTAGTTCGAAATGTTCCAAGATGGCGTCCTTCCTATCTCACAATAGCGTGGTCGGGAACAGCCTGGTTCACTTATCAGTTCTGATACAGCCCCCGAAATGCAGCAGCAGGATCCCAGTTTTTGCACATAACTCGGAGAGATAGTGACTTTGACACACTCATCTGACGCACCAAATTCCGAGCATCCTTGTATGTTTCGATTGGCTGCAATTCGCGTTCGAGTTGCTCGTTCGCCTGTTTCTCCACCTCGCCTGGCAAATAGTCTTCGCTCTCGCAAGCAGAATCACTTGGTGGTAGGTCCATCAGAGCAGAGTAAGAATGACCACCCGGTATTGTGAGCCCTATTGGGATTATTCAATAGACAGTCCCGTTCACTTAGGTCTAATCGGCTCATAGGGCACACTGATCGATCCTCGTTTAGCGTGTAAGTATTTGCCTTCCGTACATTGTACGAGTAAATGGAGACTTTGAACACTCAGAAAATCCATTACGATCTCGACGACGTGGAGCCCCACAAGGACGGATATTGGCCGCAAAATATTCGTTCTAGAAATCTGACTGCATTGCATTGCGGAACAAGCGGATGAGGAGGAAAGCCAGATAACATGATATGGTGTCCTCAGTGTAGACAATGTCTCAAAATGGAACACTCCGAACTCATAGGGATATTCCATCCTGAGTGTACTAATGCCGATAGTTCATCTTGATAGTGTGAGACCCCAATCTGGCTATTTGACCAATCAAATATACAGTGGCACTTTTATATCATATAAAGACGTGAAATATGCACCCTGAAATGCTGCCTATTTACTCGGTCAGCTTTCGTAGGTCAAGACTTGCCCTAGTAAGATTATTGGAACTGGTTGTCTACAATGGATCACAAACGCCTCCTCTTTTCCCCAAGGGAAGGTTCTACGAATGTGGCCCGCCTTTTGGTTCCCCGGCGACAGAAGCATCGTCTCGCTGGCGGCCAGGCATCCGTCCGGTGATCCGGACGGCCAAAGGAACTCTGCACTTGCCGCTCATCTAAGAGTTTTTGACCGGATTTAGGAAAACCTCCCAGTCGCGTCTGCGATCCAGCATTGCCGACTTGAATTGTGAGAGATTCATCGAGACTATTGACCACGAATGATACTTTTTTGCGATAGTATCCACAATCATTACAGCCATTGTCCTCTCCAGCTAGACCGAGGGCCCTTGATGGTCAATCTGGAACTCTGCACCTGGAATTTCAGCGAGAATCCGGCCAATCAACTTCCGAGGCTGTGTGCTCGTGCAGAGGATTGAACCCTCGCAGAAGATCGTCCCCTGTCTCATCGTAGGACAGCCATCAAGTTCAAAGAATAACATCCCCGTCACCAGGATCGCCCGCACTAACTCATCAGGCACGCAGAATGATGACTCAGCCAACCCGGCCAGCTTTTCCACGTCGTCCAGCCACGGGAGCGGTCCATGGAACAGTTTATTCATCCGGTAGATGTCCGCCCGCATGTGGCTGTAAACATAGTTCAGCGCTTCGAGAAAGGCCTGCTCACCGTCCATGGAGGGGGATGAGACCGTTGCTCGAATCAAGGGCGCAACGGCTCCGTCCTGCAAGATCCCGCCGGGCCTCGTGTGGCGGGGCTGTTGTTCGGGTGCTGTATACCCGGTGCCCACCGAAACCAGCAGATCGGGCTTGTTCCGACCGGGCCAGATCAGAGTGGACTCTTTCAGAGCGATAGACAGCGGGTTGTTCGCACGTACCCCTCCGTCTTGCAGCGGACCGAACCCAGGGAGGCTTTTGGTTCGGAAAAAAGCTAGGCATGCGTCAGTAGGGCTCCGAAAGGAATATGATTATTCGTGAATAATCATGAATATCTGCGAATATGAATTATGTTGAGATAGGCAGTTGTAGTGTTCTTGTTGAGGTTACTATCAAGTGTGGGAACCCCGTCTATTTAAATGTCCATCACTAGTCCTGCCATAAGCTTAGACCACCGCGATACTCAACACATATTATGCAATTCATATTGTTGAGATAGGTAGTTGTAGTGTTCTTGTTGAGGTTACTATCAAAAGTGGGAACCCCGTCTATTTAAATGTCCATCGCTAGTCCTGCCATAAGCTTAGACCACCGCGATACTCAACAGCACCAGCCTCGAATCTGTCAACTGGCGGCCTGTATGGCCGACTACCGTCTATATGAGACACAGATCTTTGGATCGAGTCAAGCTGCTGCTGTATAAGTGGCCTGGTAAACGCTAGGAGCGGACCGGGCTGGCTTGCGTGTGATCCATTCTTACTTTGACTTGGTAGGGCGAGGCCAGCAAGATGGAGTACCGCCGTGTAGGCGGGCGGAAGTCACGGGTATAATTCGTTCTTTTTGGGTGCGATACAAGTATGACAGGTGAACCCTGACTGGAAGCCTGCAGTGCAGCCTCACTTTCACCCCGCTTTCTCTTGACGTTTCCACGACCAGCAAGCACTCCACAATATTTTCCTTCCTCCACTCCCCACAAATTCATAGGACAGGCCGTTTTAAAGCAAAAATTGGGTTGTAATACAGTCCACTATAGATTCCAGGATCCTACTCCACGACGATTACACGGTCGGATGGATAGTGCATTGCCGGTGGAGACGGCAGCTGCGAAGCTGATGTTGGACAACATACACCCTCCTTTACCTCGCCCGGCGATGGCCCAAAATACTTATATCCTGGAAGCATCGAGGAACACAATGTCGTTATTGCTAGCTTACCGAGTGGCGCATATGGCAATACGTCAGCTGCAACGGTTGGGATGCAGTTGGTGTCCAGTTTAACGCCATCCGCTTTGGTTTTATGGTTGGTATCGGGGGCGGAGTGCGAATCAGCAATCTTTACCCGTCCCGGGAAGTGTCTAAGGGGCCCTGGGATATACGTCGTCGCCGCCCTTCGTGGAGATAGTGTCATGAATGCGCAGAAATGATATCTGATATCCGGGTACATGTAACTACTTCCTGTAAAATCTTTCCATCTCTGGTCGTCTTTAAGCACGAAGTAAAATACAGGACTCAAATAACGAACTTTGGAAAACCACTCCCACTATGCATTTCACAATATGGGATTCATCGATAATTCTCCGGTACGAGCCAGTTTGGGGAGCTTTCCCCTTCGACGTCCGCCCCCATATTTTATGGATAATTCTTCCATCCTAATTTTTATCGGTTTAGGATATGTGTTGCTCTGTTATCTGTCAGGAAAACGGAAGAGGGGCGATGTAGAGCGACTATGAATTATTGATCGCGTCAAAACATACCAAGCTTTCTGTCGAAGGGGGCCAGTTTGGTGACTGTGACGCGAGCGTATATATCAATCCATTTTTCCTCATGCGCAGAACAAGGTAAACATCTGCTTCACACTCTTGAGAGTACTCGAAATTTTCTTAAACAGTCTGTGTCTTCCCATTAAAGATTTTCTGACCGTCCCTCCTGGATTGTGATGTTTTTAAAAGAATACCTACCCGATCTAAAGAACAGCGTGTCGCACATGCTTGAGTGTCCATAGTGAGCTGAGTGAAACCGATTAGACACACTTTCAAGCTGAAGGCCTTTGGTCTGGCTTTATGGGAGCCTTGACTGAGCTAAAAATAGGTTGTGGGTCTCGTGGAACTGAGATCGACCAAATCGTCTCCACACTGACGTAGAACCTTTTCTCCTTGCCCTGGAGGCCTTCCTTTACGATCAGAGACTCCCAGTGTGAGAGTGGTCGTGCCACAAATGGTGCTGAAGCGTCTAGAGAAATTATTTTATCTTCCTCCAAGTCTTTGTATGAAGTTGACAAAGAGCTTGTTGTGGTAGTGGAGGTGCGTGGGAAAAAGCCTATTGGATGTCTAACTTCGCGGTTCAGAACCGCCTACTCTGCGACCACCAGGCTCACGGGGTCTTTGCTTGGAGACTAGAAGTTTCGATCCAGCATTGCCCCTCCATTCCGTCTGGTCGCGCGCCATGCCCCACCCTGGCTTTAAATTGGTCGTCCCCAGTCCCCTCTTCCGTCTCTTTTGTCCCCGACCTTCACTCCCAGCTTTGGCTTTCCCTGCTCAGGTGCTGCACACCTGTGCGTCCCATCCTTATTGTACATTTGGCTCCCCTCCCCACACTCGTTTTTCCTTGCTTCTTTATTGTTTGGTCTGCATTAATACGGGAATTACAACATGTCCCAAGAGGAAGGCTTCATGCAGCAATGGGGGTTTGGACTATCTGAGCTACATTGTTCGACATTGACAGATCCCAAGGACTCATCTTAAAATGAGGATTTATCGGGCTATCAGCAATTTGCAAGGTCTGAAGAAGTAAGTATCAGAGCTTGGATATCATATAGGCTGCTGATGATTGTCAGTTCCCTGGTTTGGTTCGATATAACCTCTTAGCCCTTCAATCCCTTCCAGAGGCTGAGAGGCAGGATGTGGCCGCCAAAGTGGGTATTACATCGTTGATGGCAACCATACATTGTCTCGACACGCCCGGAAATCAAGTCTTACTGGACTCGCAGGTTGGAGAAAATGACGGTGCATAGCTTGTTCCATTTCAACTTCTGCTTTGATTTGCTACGCAATTTGTTCGACACTGCATGTACTGATTTTATACCTGTAGGTCCTACGACGGAAGCCACTGGCTGGGGTGAGTTCAGTGAGTTCACCCACGATCTCGGTATCTCGCCCATACCTTCGAACTCGGAGATTAGTCCGCCAAAACCACAGCCTTTGGAAACAACCTCCTATCCAACTCCCCAGTCAGTTCCCAGTCCGGACGCAGGAACCAATACCTTAGGCTCTGATTTCTCGAGTCCGGCGGATCTCGATCCTTTCCAGTTGCTGGATGTGCCAAGACCCGCACATTTGTACCCGACCCAGTCCACATTCGATTGTACGCCGCGACCGGCAACTGGCCTAGAGGGTTCTACGCTACATAATGCGCCCGAAAAATGAATGGCATTGGCATGGGTCCACCACTGGAAGAGCCAGCGGCGCTCATCTCCCAAGCTGCTGAGCAATGTTTTAAGTCAACATATGGTGGATGACCCTGCTGAGGGAAATCAATCCGCTAGTCAGTCTCTTTCCCTTGAAGCTTTGCAACATGCCCAGGTCCCTGAAGTTGCGCCCCTAGACCATGCTCAAAACATGATACTATTTTTTCCGGATTTAAGTACAAACAAACTTCGACAAGCTATGGAACTAGGTGACCAAGACTTGGCCCACTTGGAATCACAAGTCAATCACTGGCAAGCTGAACGATTGTGGAGTTTCGTGGGTGTTTCACCAGGGTCGTCTGCAAGACAAAGGATCGCTGGAATCTGTAGATACATCAAAGACATGGGCAATCCAAGCGCGGAAAACTAAATGAGGATCCGACTCGCAAAAGTCCAAGTCAACATGCTCTATGAGACCATCTGCAAAGAGGAAAAGAATCGGCGTCTCGGTCTCGGACCGAGAAAGTTCACCACCCATGTTCTTAACTGCATCGAGGCAGCCATTAGCAATCCTGGTGACCGACGCCTTCCTGTTCCTAGAAAGTCACTTGTTCGCGACGCTATCTTTCGATATAAGCAAGTTGGTAAAAAATGGTCGGTGTCACAAGGTCTAAGTATGACGTTGCTTGTTGGCCAGGACTGTGGAAGGACAATGTAAGCGGTACCATAAAGGTCGAAAATTCCCCGGCTAATATCATGCAGAGAAAGCGGCCAATTCACTGAGATGCAGATGAAGGCTTTGATGTTCCATGTTTCGGCAACTCGGCCTGATATTATCAGTCTCTGCAGCAAATTAGAACATGCTGTCAGCTATTTTCTGGCACATAATCAGTTGCCAGCGCATCCCACGTTGGACGACGTTCGAAAAATGATAGGGATTCACAATTCAATGACAGCGATCGTAGATTAACGGGGATGGACAGGTTAAATATTGCGCCGTTTTCTTCAGATGAGTATCCAAGTCCAATTTGGCCTGCGCTATTTATGCGTTTGATTTTGCTTGGTCGAACTCTTTTCAGTTATCAGCAAATAGAACATGAATCAATAAGTCTCGCCTTACCGCGTTCGTGCAGTAGATCGTGTCACTCACTGCGCAGTATCCCAGGAAGAATGAGGAGCTCCAGACAAATCGGCCGTTCAAGGACGAGGAGCTTTTATGCTAAGAGGTTAATAAAAATTGCTGTGAAGAACCAGGTAGTCTTCACGGAAAGAATTCTTTCTGGGGATATTTCAACTTTATATGCACCACCAAGGGTGGAGTTGAAACTATTGTGTATACCAACGAGAAGCACACGGGAAAGGAGCTTTGATACGGTACGGAACCACCGATTGAATTTGGCGGTTCGAGGTAAATACTGTGTGGCCATTGGTCGCACACCGTGTTGGCGGTTCAGAATTGTGACATTTGAAGGGCCTGTGCAGCCGCGATTCCTCTTTGCACCAAACCATAGGATCTCCTTCCAGGAGTTTCCATCGCGTTAAGATCCGAGGAGCGTACAGTAACGTCCCCAAGGACGGAAGCAGTGTTTCTGCTTTCTTACAATTAGCTGCATCGAAAGGCCAGAGCGAGGGCTGAACAAGAATGTACTGTACAGTAAAGTGGGACTCCAACCTAAAGGACGTACACATGGAATCATCTGCCCACAAGTTACAACCAGGCTAGTATTCCACTGACTTTACACTGTACTTCTAGAGTATCGGTCGAGCGCCCTTTCAGCGGTTTAAACCAGCGACTCTGAGCAAAAGCAATTTCGAACCGCCACTTCCTCATGCCACCAAACCTTACTTAAAAGAACAGAATCCTCGTCTGTTGATACTTCACCCTCATGCTTTCAAATGAGATTCAGAAAATGAACCCCCTCTTGAACAGTACTCTAGAGCCGAGTCTTAGGGACAGGAAAGATTGTGAGAAGTGGGTTGATGTAAGCACTCATCCCCTAACGTGAAGTCCGATTGCGCGGGCGACCCGGTTGCGCGAGCGACCCCACCAAACCTTGAAAAACCTTCAATTTTTAACCACTATTAAAACCACCAAAAAACATAAGTTTGGCTATTGAACACGTGTAGGGCATTTAGAATATGTATGACCTTTTATTCCACAGCCAGAACATGTCACCTGCCGCCGAACCAAGGGCATAGAAGGTAGAGTAGGTTCCGTAACCGGTTTTGCAGGCACCTCTGGTAAAGATATATCTTTGCTTCTATCTTCATCCCCAACAACCACATCATCCTCACCACCCTCTAGACCCCCAAAGATGCCTTTCTGGGTACTAAACTTGTGTTTGGTCCCTCGCTTTTTGGTCTGTTTCTTGTTGGTAGCCTCCAATTGAGTACAGCGATTCTGGAGAAAAATGTGGTGGTGGACCACTTTTATAGTCATCTCGTAAGTCTTATTGATCTCCCTTTTTGTTGGTGAAGAAAGGATTGAAGAAGAAGATTGTAGACTTTTTTTGATCCGAGATTGCGATTTTGTAAACTTTGAAAGGGTCCAAAGGGTATCTGGATCACTATCGCTACCGGAAGAGACTGGTCGCTGAGAAAGGATCTCCAGAGGAGGGAGGGAATCCAGGTGCACATTTAGCTTTTCCATGACCTTATTAGCATCGAATGGTGCTAATCCAGTAGCCAAAAAGCTATTCTTTATAGTGGAAGTCTTAAAAGCACCCATTCTCGCATCTGCGATCAGTTCAAGGAAATCTTCCTTGTCAATGGAGTTAACTCCGTTTCGCATCAAAGTTGAGACCGCCCCTCCGTAAAGCCTCTTCAAAACCGAGAAACAACCCACGTCCAAAGGCTGTAAAAGATGAGAAGCATGCGGAGGCATACAGATTGCGATGATTTGGTTTTCTTCACAGACTTGGTCAAATTCAGGGGTTAAATGACTCCCATGACCATCAAGGACCAGTAAGCAGTATTTTCGCACTCTTGTCCCAATATTTGGGATAAAATGATATTTTAACCACCATAAACCAATTGTATTGGTAGTCCATCCATTTAAGCTCATGGTTAGACGAGCTCCTTTTTGATTTGAAAGGAGATAGGGTCGTAAATGCTCTGGGAACTGTTTTCCTTTGAAGACAAAGAGCGGCGGGAGAACACTTCCAGAAGCTCTAATACACTCAATCGAAGTCACCCACTCACGATTTCCGGCTTGTAAAAGAGCTCTTTTTCCATGGTATTCTGCTGAAGTGATAATCTTTTGTGTTGCACTAATACCCATGGCAAAACCAGACTCATCAAAGTTGAAGATATCGTCTGAAGCGATACCCCACTTTTCAATCGTCCTTTGAACCAAATCAGACCATGGTTCAATAATTCGAGGGTCTTCTGAAAGAGCTCTCTGATAATCGTATTTGCGAGAGAGGCGAGTAGAGAGATTTGGGCGTCGTTTGATAAATTCAGCAGGCCAATGATTACCCACAGTAGAGGGTGTAGTTTTTCGGGCATACAGTAGAAGATTGGCCATATCTCGCAACATAGGCAAAGTAAGAGCTGCCCCTCTGGAATCCATATCCAGTAGCCATTTTTCAATCGATCCCTCCTCAATTTCGGTAAAAATGAAGCGATTGTGTCGCTTTTCAGTAGCAGATTCGCGCCCATTGATCCGGGCCTTCAAAGTTGAGACAGGTATCTCAAAAGATCGCGCAGCAGCGGCAGCAGAGGGATACTTGCCATTTTTAATAGCTTGTAAAGCTAATGAAAGGCGACCCTCCTGCTCTATTAACTTTTTTCTTATCAGAGCGTTGGGGGGCATTGTTTTTGTGGTCAAAGAAGATGCATCATTATTGAAGTGTATTTTTGGTGGGGTCGCTCGCGCAACCGGGTCGCCCGCGCAACCGGACTTCACGTTATGTTTCAACGCTCAACTCTTGTGCAGGAAGATGTGTTTTGTTGACAAGCTATTAATATATAACTATTGAGTTCAGAACAACGAGCGCTTGCCACGGCATTGAGGATGCTATTCCAGTCTACCGAAGGTTAGTACAACTATAGCAGCCCAATGAGTGAGACAGTTATGCCTGAAGCTACCGTGGAGGATCTGCAGCATCGCTCCGTTATCCTTGAAAAGGCTTTGCCTGACCTCGTCAACCATGAACTTCCAAACTCACCTACCATCCAAGACCAATCTCCAACCTGGGCCAACTCATGCAGTTGCTGGAGCGTGCATCAATTGAACTTTCCATGGCAATTAAACTTGCTCGATCTTGTTCTGAAAGCAATGAACAAGCGAGGCGTTCCTGGACCAGATGGATCACACCATCTGTAGGGAGTACAACATGGAGCACTTCAAATGGTTTGACTTCGTGGGGGCCGTGGCCAGGGGCTCTGCCAAGACTTGAGGGCTTAGCAGTTAGCACCAATGAAGTCACCTGATGGTGGGGCTGAGAGATGGTTTGTTGACCTGCCTGCACCAACTTGGCTGTCTTGAGCCTTGCCACTTCACTAGTTACGAAGTTAAATTACCCTCTGCCCTTAGGCATGGAATAAAACTGCTCGCTCATCTTGCCTGAGTGAAGCATACGACTGCAAGTTTTAATGTTTTGATGCTGATGTTGGATAACTGGTACTGAAGAATGGCCTCGTCCAATGGGAGTGGGCCTTTTTAGCAATGATCCCAGAGAGGACGGTGATGAGAGAGATTCAGTGTCCAGTAATCTCCACGAATTTTGAATCCTCTGCCCCAAGATCGTTTCTCGGTTTTCTTAAGCTGACTAGGTCAGAGCGCTAAATCTGAAAGGGAAGGCTGGAATCTTAACAAAAGTACGGAGTACCCACCCCCATCATTCCTTTCCACAAACACCCCACCCGCCTCCCTCCCCTCAAGCTCCTCCTGCTCCCCGACAAAGTTATTATCCCGGAGTTTGTGATCGACTCTGTGAATATATTGAAACATGGCGGACAAGCCGATTGTGCCCGTGAGTGATCTATTTGCTTTCCAGTCGCCGTTTTGACGTTCATTGCCTAGGACCCGGATTTGCATTTGGCGGCCGAGCCATACACTCATGACGACGGGCAGTCGTGCGTGCTTTCTTTACCCACTGATCATTATCATTATGTCAACTAAATATTGTTCGTGGCGAATAGAGAGACAACATCCATTGCATCGGCCCTGTATAAGGGCTTCATGGAAAATGGGAGACGGTGACTACCCTGGCCACCAAGAATTCCTGTAGGACCGATAGCTTTCTCAGATATCAGTCACTGAAAAATACCGATTCTTTGTTCGTCGCCACTTGAAGTCCGCTATAGTATGTAACTCACATTTGTGCAGTGTTCCTTCAGATGAGCAGCAATTTGAGGCCTACGAAGCGGGGTATTTTCGGAGTCCTTTATTCGCAGGGGTTGGACGATTTTGTTAACACTCGAGAAAGGCACATCACCGCTGTACTTAGGGAGTCTGACCGGCCGAATCCGTTATTCAGGGCCCACGTCGGCCCTGACCCACAAGTATGTTAACTAACTAACTTAGATACTGAACGATACTGACATCTCTAAGCATATTCTCGACGTTGGAACTGGAAAGGGTTCGTGGGCAATGTAAGTGAAGATTCTCCCTTGGTGGAGAGACGTACTAACATCCGTTCAGTGATGTCGCCGACATGTTTCCAAGTGGTATGAACCCCAGACTCGCACTATCGATAGTGTCCTTTTATTGGAAGGATTCAAGCTAAAAGATGCAGCAACCGTCCGCGGCGTTGATCTTTTCCCACCCCCGTCTCTTGGGTCCCTCCAAACTGCATTCTTGAGATTGATGACGTGTTGCAAGAGTGGACCTGGTAACAGCCGTTTGATTTGATTCATATACGGATTCTTGATGCTGCTTTTACTCATGAGGAGCAAGAGCGGTTATATCGACAGTGTTACGAGTATGTTCATGCGTCAAGAAAACTGAATGAAACAGACGAGGTCAACTAAATCTTTGCAGAAGCATCCGCCCGGGCGGATGGGTAGAACAACTCGAAATGTCTCCAGATTTCCTGTCTGACGATGGATGTCTTCCTCCGGATAGCCTTGCTGCCAATTTGGGCAAAACTTGTGTCCGCGCTGCCGCGAAGTCTGGCCGACCCATGGATCTATACTACCGATGCACAGAGCTGATAGAAAAAGCCGGGTTTACAGACATTCATGTCCATGAATGTAAGTGGCCACTTGGTCCTTGGGCGCGGGACAAGCAGCTCAAGGAGGTTGGAACTGTGAATTTTGCGCAATGGGCAGCAGGCATGGAGGGATATGCTATGCATCTTCTTACGAAATATGGAGAACCAAAGCCATGGTCGAAGGAAGAGGTTATGGTCTACGTTGCGAAAGTCAAGAATGAGTTGGCTAACCTTCGCCATCATGTCTACCATAAAGCGCAAGTCTTCGTCTTCATTGCATTCCTGTGGACGTTGGGGCGATATGCTAACAATGTTATAGGAAACGAGTGTGGGCTCGGAAACCCCTTTCCAACTCCAAAGAGAGCCCCGCGACTACAGCTATCAAAAAAGAAAACAAGGATTAGCGAGGACAGTAAGAGACGCCAAATATGACAATATTCGCTGGGCGGAGGTCCACTCATTTCACCTTTCTCCCGTGTTACGCGATGTGGGTCGGTGTCCTTTGGGTATCGTGCATGCCTCATGTCTGTATCTGAAAATCTCAACACTTTAGCCCCACAATGGAGGTCAGTCTTGTTCTGTAAATCCTACATTGGCCTGACTGTTCATAGACACCTCTTCTCTTGCAGGTTGCTGAAAATCAAAGATGGTTAACTACCAGAATTTCTTTCCTTCATGTCTCTTTGCTTTCTATCACCCCACCCTCCTTTTACCACTTAGTTTCCAGAGAGGGATAATGGTGGTTTGTAGTTCTAGGTGGAAGAAGAGTAAAGTACTAGCGGCGCATCAGGATGCTTTGGAAGGATCATCCCAAGAGACCTCTTAAACCGCTTCAGCAAGGCTGTACCGACTAGTCAAACTTTAGTCGCACCTGGAAGTCTTTTCGGCAGACAATACGGTCCTGAACCCTCGGCATTATAAACTCTGCACCTCGTGAGGTCGTTCCTTCGATACTCACGTTCCTGCTGCGTAATGAAAATTTCAATATCAAGGTCCATAATGGCCTTTCGAGCCCGGTCCATCGAGGCGACCATCGCAGTACCTTCACGCTCCCACCGTTCCAGGCGACCTTCCTCGGCCCTTCGTCGCCGATATTTGGTCTCGATTTTCTTGCAGAGGTGGCACTTGCTATTGCAGTTTTCGGTCTCGTTGATGAGTCTTATACCACATGTTTCACCAATCCGGTACTCGTAATCACATCTGTGTGCAAAACGAGTCCAGTTCCAGACCCCGCATGAAAACCGTTTCTGCTTGTAAAAGCACATGTCTAACAGATATGTTAGCGCCTCCTACTTCTCAGATCGATTGCTATTGCACTTCTGGAGGCTCTTTTTCAGGTCAAACAAGATTGTATGATGAGATCCTACCCGACAAGTTCCAAGGTCACCTGCCTATTTTAAAAACCATTAATGAATCCGGACACACGGCCTCCGTAGGATGTTTAGAAACAATGAGAAAATGTCCTAATGGTTTGCTGCTTGGAAGGTCCAAGGAACTGGCGGGATGGGATATTTGGACTTTGAGATAGGAAAACTGTGATTTCGAAGTCCAATGTTAGAGGCAGAAGTCAAGATTTAAGGTAATGCATTGAAGGCCCAGGCTGGAATTTGTGCGCCTACCCACGAAAATTAAGCTACTCGTGCATCAGAAGGACCGAAATTGGTTTAACCCCATGAGCACCTTGGGCGCTCGGGCTACCAGGAAGGGACAGTTGGATATACCCTGTTGGAAGAAACTCCCACAGCTGGCATCATGCTTCAGATATTGATATTTATCTGATTTAAGTCGTCGGGGAATACGGAAAGTGGGCCCCTCCTGTTAGGAAAACTACACGAGCTGTTCTGGCCCCAATCTGTTTCTCTGCTCTTCCGTTTTGCCTTCCACAAGTAGCCAATCGTGACCCCTCCAGCCTTCTACTTTGCTTTGCAACAAACAAAATGGGACTTGCTCCTATGAAATCAGAGATCCTGCAGACTGGCAGGTTCGTCTCCAGGAATACAAGAACTGTCTCCAGGAACGCTGCCATGCGCTCCCCGACACGTCTGGGCTCCTGGAACCCAATCACAAATCCCCCGGGATCGGATACTTTGCAAGCTTTGATTGGTTCCTGAAGCCACCATAATTACAAAAAATACGTGCAACTTGTTGGCGTTATGGTGGATCACCTCATTGTGTAGGGCTGTACTGGAGGCCCTGGCTGATACTGAAGATAGGGGGGCCGGTGGGTGGACTCCTACTGTACACACACACACACACACAATTCATTAACGCCCAGCGGCTGAACCGAAAGGGCAACTATCACAGATCTAAATATACACGCCTTAGCTAATGCTATGTCTCCTTGCAGCCCATACAAGATTATCCTTAGTGTATGTCATCTCAGATGTCAATATCTTAGAGGGTCCTTGTGGGTTAGTGTTTAGTTAGTAGGCTTGCTTGAAGGCGCTTCTCCAAGTGTTCAACATCCTATCTTCGGCAATTGAAGCGCGTCTACCATCTCTGGCACAAGGTGGTTGGTGAGGGTTAGATTGGGGTTGGGGTGGGGTAGGGTTGATTTGTGTTGGTTGACGCGGTTAAGTGGCGTCGAGACGGCCCGTGGCGATTGCAAACCGTATTGTGGCTCGCACTGCTTCCAAATTCGGCGTCCAGTCCTGGTCATCCAAAGGCGATTTTCCGCCCAGGAAAAAGGATATATTGCCTCGGTGAGTATGGGTACATTGCAGCATTTCCGTCCGGTGCGTGATCCACTTCTGACATCGAAAGAGGAAGTGCTCCACGGTCTCTCTTGCTTGTCCACATGCACACTGATCCGTCTCAGCGACATTGATTCGATAGAGGTATCCATTGAGTCTCGCCATGCCAGTCCGGAGTTGAGCCAGCACGCTCGCTTCTTTCCACGATAATCGATCATACAACCGCCGGGTATGTCTTCCTGGGAGTGCTGCATCCACTCGTTTGGAGTGTCTCCCTACGTTCTCTGGTAGCGCTTTACTGGCGGCGGCGGCGGCTGCTCGGGATCGAGCGACATTCAGTGTGGTTGACTTCATTCTCGGAACATGTGCTTGAGGGGTAGCATCCTCTTGGGTCGCGGCCCGGGCCTGTTCTTTCGCTAAGCCTAGCAATTGATTATCTTCGCTGATCGGGACCCAGCGGATGTCTATCTGGTTTTCGTGTCGCCGTAGCCTTTGAATCAACTTGTATATCTGGCAGGTGTGGTCCTGGCCCGACTGCTGTCGAGGATTCTTCAGCGTGAGTGCCGCCGCTTTGTTGCTGGTGAGCAGCGTGACCCTGCACCGTTTCAGTCCCCGTAGCGTGTTCAGTGCGTATGCCATTGCTGCCAATTCACCGGAGTATGGGTTCTGCTCGGTTCTTGCACCCAGTGTGACGGAGAAAGTTTTTTCAGCCTCGGTTTTCGATACCGAGGTGGCTGCTTCTCAATCGCCACGCCGAATCCTACCATGTCATTCCGCGCCGAACTGCTGACCGCGATCCGCATGACTCCGCCCATTTCGGTCTGTGTCTCTGGTAAATCCTGACCATCGCCCTGTACACGGTCCTCCCATGGTGCCAATGTGAATGGATTGATGGTTTCCAGTGTTTCCATCTCGATATTGTTCAGTGCGTCTGCGACCTGATACAATGGCGAACGGTGGTATCTTCTGAATTTCTTGATCTGAGCTGTACTCCTGCGGAGGGGATTGGTGACTGGTAGGGTGTGCATGTCTGTCCACATCTTCGCAGCTCGTCTCCAGAGCCGGTGTTGGACCGTGGCGATGTGAGCCTCCGCTTCCGCTACGCTGGTCGCAACTGTGAGGAATGTCCCGACAATCGCTTGTGCTCCTACCCTTTGTACTCTGTTGATCGGTCCGATATTCTTATTCTTGAAAGAGTGCATCCAGACATTGGAGGCATAGTCCACCACCGGCGCCACGGTCGAGGTGAATAACTGCCGTGCTGCTGCTGGGGTTAGACCTCGAAGTCGTCGAAGCTCCATCGCTGCATCTAGGCCCTTGGACGCTGCTCTCGCGATGTGTTCCTTGTATTTGAGTCTCGTATCCATTACGACGCCAAGAATCTTGACATGGTCTCTGGGTTCAACGGTCTCTCCCTTGATGGTGAATGGCTCTGAGTCCGATTTGTGGGCTTTGGGGGCGAAGTGTATAATGGCCGTTTTCTCTACTTCAAAAGTCGCTCCACTTCTTCTTTCCCAGTCGAGTGCTTCATTGACGATTGTTTCAATACCTTGCCGGTTGCTCTGCGCAGTCGGTCCGGTTACCCACGCGGTGAAGTCATCCACGAAAGCAACCGCTCCTCCCTGGCCGTCGATCTGCCGCTGTACAAGGTCTGCGTTGAAGAAGAGGAAGAGGATCGGGGACAGGGGTGAGCCCTGAGGCAGTCCAGCCTGTGGGAGATTTTGGGCCTCAGATGCTTGCCCATTGATTTGGATGGTCGCCGTTCGCTTCGAGCAGAACGCCTCAACCCACCGAAGCAGAACTTCGGGTATACCTCGCGCTTTCATCCTCTGGAGCAATCGTTCCTTACAGACCCCATTGTAGGCTCCTTTAACGTCGAAACTGATCAGGCTCAAGACCCGTCGGCCACGCCATGCCGCGTAGATTTGCTCTTGCAAAAGTAAGAGAGCTTGCTCCGCTGACCGCTGCTTACGAGCCCCAAAGTGGCTGGTCGGAAGTAGGCCGTAGGTTTCCACCGCGTGTGAGATTCTTTCTGCGATGACTGATTCCAGCACCTTGCCCAGTGTCGCGAGGAGTGAAATCGGCCTCCAGGCCTTCGCAATCGTATAGTTCTCTTTGTTCGGTTTTTTGAGCGGTATGATCTTCGCATGTCTCCACTGCTTGGGCAATGTGCCTTCATCCAGCGACGCTTGGAACAGCTCCAGGACCCCGTGTTTGACCACGGGCCACGTCATCTTCCACACTATCGCTGGTAGGCCATCTTCACCTGGTGCTTTCCAAGACTTTGTCGCCAACAGCTGCCGTTCGACCTCTTCCATAGTGATGGCAGACATCTCCACGGGCGCTCTCTGCGGCCTGGTCCCTTCATCGTCAATTCTGTCCGGCAGTGGCGGGAAGAATTTGGTCAGCAGTTCCTCCGCTTGCTCTTTGTGATCGGCGGTCATAGTTCCATCCGCCCTGAGGAGCTGTGGGACCTTCCCGAATGCTGCATCATCTCCCGACTTTAGGTATTTCGCGGCTTCCCATATATTATCGTTGTCGGCCAGAAACTCATTCCAGTGCTTCTTCTTTTGTTTCCGTATTGCATCGTGGTATTGTTTCGCTGCACTCGCGGCCATGTTCTCCAGATGCGGCATCTTTCGCCCTGCCCGTCGCTCCGAGCGGGCGTGGTTTCTCCAATATGTGTATATCTGGCGGAGTTGTGTTAGGTCCGCCGTCCACCACCGCTTTGCGTGTGGCGACGGTTTGGCCCTCGGCGTCAAAGCATGCACCGCCTCCGACACCACAGACATGAGTCGGTCGGTTTTCTGCTGCACCGTGCCTTCCGACGGGGTGGCGGCGAGCGCCGTCGCAATCCGGGCATTGATTTCCTTCCATGGCGCATTTTTCAGCAAAAGTCGCTCTGGATGTTGTGGAGCCGGCCACGGGGCGTCAGAAACGGTGTCAATGGCGCAGTGGTCCGAGCCGTGCTCTGTCCCATGTATCGCACATTTGACCATAGATTGTGTCAAGTTTTCTGAGGCCAGGACGAGGTCGATCGTGGACTCGCAGTCCCCATTCTGTCCTCCGCCGTGCCATGTCTTGGTGCCTCGTTTGAGTAGGCTGCTAAGAGAAAATTCGTTCATGAGGTCGATGATTGGATCCGCCTCTCCCTGTCTTGTCAAAGACACTTCGTCTCCTCCCCAGAGCTGATCGTGGCGGTTAAAGTCTCCCACGATCATGATCTCCACCACCGTTCCCGCGTCTTGCCGTACCTTACTGATTGCTTTTCTGAGGCGATCACATGCGTCGTCCAACGCTACGGCATCTCCGCCCTCTACGTAGACCGATGCCATAAATATCAGGCGCTCCGGGAGGCGGATGACCGCTGCGGTCAGGTCCGGCGACTCGATCGGCACTTGCTCCGCTTCCACATCCTTATTTACCCACAGCATGCTTCGGATTGCCCATCGGCCCTCCCTCCAAGCGGAGGGAACCATCTTGGTCCATTTGTGATGTGCCATCGGGGTTGTCACGAGCCGCCCTTGGATTCTCCTCGCTTGGGGTTCCTGAATCGCGAGTGCCACTGCGTACGAGCATTACACACACACACAATTCATTAACGCCCGGCGGCTGAGCCGAAAGGGCAACTATCACTGATCTAAATGTACATGCCTTAGCCAATGCTGTGCCTCCTTGGAGCCCATACAAAATTCCTTTCAGTGTATGTCATCTCAGATGTCAATATCTTAGCGGGTCCTTGTGGGTTAGTGTTGTTAGTAGACTTGCTTGAAGGCGCTTCTCCAAGTGTTCAACATCCTATCCTCGGCAGTTGAAGCGCGTCTACCGTCTCTGGCACAAGGTAGTTGGTGGGGGTTCGATTAGGGTTGAGGCGGGGTAGGGTTAATCTGTGTTGGTCGACGCGGTCAAGCGGTGTCGAGTCGGCCCGTGGCGATTGCAAACCGTATTGTGGCTCGCACTGCTTCCAAATTCGGCTTCCAGTTCTGGTCATCCAAAGGCGATTTTCCGCCTAGGAAAAAAGATATGTTGCCTCGGTGAGTATGGGTACATTGCAGCATTTCCGTCCGGTGTGTGGTCCACCTCTGACATCGAAAGAGGAAGTGCTCCACGGTCTCTCTGGCTTGTCCACATGCGTATTGATCTGACTCTGCGATATTGATTCGATGGAGATATCCGTTGAGTCTAGCCATGCCAGTCCGGAGTTGGGCCAGCGCGCTCGCTTCTTTCCACGATAATCGATCATACAACTGCTGGGTATGTTTTCCTGGGAGTGCTGCATCCACTCGTTTGGAGTGTTTCCCTACATTCTCTGGCAGGCACTTTTTGGGGACTGCTTGGGGTCGTGAGATGTTCAGTGTTGTCGACTTCATCCGTGGGACCTGCGCTTGCGGGGTAGCATCCTCTTGCGTCGCGGCCCGAGCCTGCTCTTTCGCTAGGCCTAGCAGTTGATTACCTTCGCTGGTCGGGACCCAACAGATGCTGATGCGGTTCTCGTGCTTCCGTAGTCTCTTGATCAGCTTGTATGTTTGGCAGATGTGTTCCTGGCCCGATTGTTGTCGAGGATTCTTCAGCGTGAGAGCCGCGGCTTTGTTGCTCGTGAGCAGCGTGACCCTGCACCGTTTCAGTCCCCGTAGCGTGCCCAGTGCGTATGCCATTGCTGCCAATTCGCCGGAGTATGGGTTCTGCTCGGTCCTTGCGCCCAGCGTGACGGATAAAGTTTTCAGCCTCGGTTTTCGATACCGAGGTGGCTGCTTCTCAATCGCCACGCCAAATCCTACCATTTCATTCCGCGCCGAACTGCTGACCGCGATTCGCATGGCTCCGCCCGCTTCGGTCTGTGTCTCCGGTACATCATAACTATCGCTCTGCACCCGTTCTTCCCACGGTGCCAGTGTGAATGGATTGATGGTTTCCAGGGTTTCCATCTCAATGGTCTTCAGCGCGTCGGCGACCTGATACAAAGGCGAACGGTGGTATCTTCTGAATTTCTTGATCTGAGCAGTACTCCTGCGGAGGGGATTAGTTACCGGTAGGGTGTGCATATCGGTCCACATCTTCGCAGCTCGTCTCCAGAGCCGGTGTTGGACCGTGGCGATGTGAGCCTCGGCTTCCGCTACGCTGGTGGCAACTGTGAGGAATGTCCCGACAATCGCTTGCGCTCCTACCCTTTGCACTCTGTTGATCGGCCCGATGTTCTTATTCTTGCATGCGTGCATCCAGACATTGGAGGCATAGTCCACCACCGGGCCAAGAGACATAAAGTAGCTTCGGCAGGCCTACTTGCATAGACCACTACCCCAGTTTTTCACCCAATAAACGAGGCTTCTGGACTTTTGAGGTGGACAAAGCCTCTCACCCTGGGTGTCTCTCAGTTTGCTCCTTAAGCATACATCACGGGCCATTCAACTAGGACGACACCGCTTCAACCAGGCTTAGCTGATCTCAGGCCCTCAGTGCGAGTGAGGTAGTTGATTCCCGGCTCTTTGTACACCGACACGCGCATCCGTCCTCTCGGGCCATACAGACAGTCTCTTGACAGGCCCCGACCCTGTCGCAGTGGCTGCCATTGTACACCACGCCCCGCGAGAGCTTTCACTCTCGTTTCGCGTTACCTGGGGAGGTCTCCCCCGCCAGGCCGACCGTGTCTTGCAGAAAGCCCTTGTGTACGCTCCGTCCGGCAGTGTACGTCGGCCACTTTCCACTAACCAAGCTTGTCCCCCGATGCCTGAGCAGGATCGATGGTTTGCCCGTGGCAACGCCTTAACGAGGTCCATCGTTTGCCACCAGCCAACTACCAGTCCCTTCCAGAACGCCCGTGTATCTCCCAGGAGGATGCCCGTGTCTCAGTGTTGTCCGTGTCAAGAAGAGGAGCCGCACCAAAGGTTGCCCGTGGCCAGGCCTTAACGAGGTCTTTTGAGGCGGTCTCTCCGAGCCTTAACGAATTCGAGTCTTAACGAGGTCTCCTGGGCCTTGAACGAGGCCTGTTCGAGATTAGCTTGACTGCCTGTGTCACCGGTTCACTACCGCCTCGCCGCATCTCGCACGATGCGATCCCAGACCGTATGCAAGCTCAGGGGTGTCCTGTCTTCTTTCTAGGGCGACACCACTTCCACTGGTAATGCAAGACCAGCTTCAGGGCCCGAGTGCGAGTCGGGTAAAAAGAAGTCGGATGGTTTTCGTATCCCGTTGTCCCCTGATTTTGGTGTGGTTGTGCGGTCGCTTCCCGCACCGGGCCGAACCGCACAACCACGGCGGATTCAATTTGGTCTCCTCCACGAGGATTAACACCGGACACCACGAGAAGGTATGAATCCATTGTCCCAGCAGCCTGGCTAGGACTGCTGCCCAGTGCGAGCTCACTGGGGGCACGAGCATTACAGTGTGTCCCGAAACTGGTGTCACCGCCTTCACTCTTTGATTGTTTGTTAAATCTGGATTACTAGGCTCCGCTGATCCCTTTTGGAATTTAATCCGTGTATCCTTGGCAGTGGGCCCTGTATTGTTTCTTACACCCCGTACTCCCCGTTAGGGTGGTGTTGTATTCGCTTATACTTTATGTCGGATTGACAGATACTGGTATGTGCTAGTATTGAGGTGTCCCATTGAGATTCATTGGTAGTTGTATCTATCTGGATCTTGCTGTTGAAGCGTTATCAGATCTCAGGAGTCGTTCCTAGCGTGTTACGACGCTGGTATGCCGAGCGTACCCCGTTTACCATACAGAGACAAAGAGAGAATGGGTAGCCGTGTCATGGGACACCCCCTACCCTTCGGGGGTGTCCCACAGCCATAATGCAATTAACCTCCATAATGCAAATTTCCTACCTTTTCAACTTTTACGCGTATTCCTACCCACCAAAAATGCCTAAAAAAACTCGTGATGAAGAGGATCTGCTAGCTAAGGCATTACATGCTTATACTACGCGAGAATTTTCATCACTACGTAAGGCTGCGGACCATTATCGCGTGTCTTATTCGAAGCTTCGCGGTCGCAAAAACGGACAGACATCTCTCTCCGATCGCCCTACCACCAATAATGCATTGAATTCGAATCAGGAAAATGCATTAATTAGCTGGATCGAAGTGCTAAATTCTTGCTATACACCTCTAACAGTAAAAGACATTGAAATTGCCGCAAATCGCCTGTTGAAAATAGCGGGTTCGGAGACAGTTGTTAGTTCAATGTATAGCTATCGGCTTATACGGCGTCTACCTCCACACATCAAGCTTATTACCCAAAAATCGAAGGAGTCTTTACGAATTCAAGCCGAGGATCCTGGAGTTATTAGCCATTGGTATGATAGGCTTGAGTTTCTCTACCGTGAGCATGGTTTTGAACCTTATGAGATCTATAATTGGGATGAAACCGACTTCCAAAATGGCGAAGGACTCAACTAACACGTCGTCTCTACACGTCAAACTGCTAGTATTGCTACTAGAGATCGAGGTGAAACTATTACTGGCATTGAATGTATTGCCGCTAACGGCTAGGTGATGTTTCCGTGGTTTCTAGTCAAAGGTAGCGTCCACATAGAAGACTGGTATAGTAATATGTTAACCTCTTCTTCGGCATACAAAATTATCTATTTAACGTCTAGTGGCTAGACGGATAGTGAGACTGCTTACCGATAGCTATGCTTATTTCATGAAGCCACAAAAAACCGTGTACGACGCGGGCGACCGAGGCTTTTGCTAATGGATAATCATGCGTCTTATACAACTATCGAATTTCTCGATTTTTGTAAGGAAAGCCTAATTATTCCTTGGTATTTTGTACCTCACACGACTTATATATGTCAGCCCCTTGATGCTGAGGCTTTTTTAAGCCTAAAACATAAGTTTAAAATGGCGAATACTAAGGTTGTGGAGTGGGGTGGAAGCAACGAAAAACGCGACTTTTTCCGCAATATTGACGCCGTCCGACGCCACGCCTTAAGGTCCAAAACTATCTAAACCTCGTTCAAATCTACTGGTATCTAGCCACTAGATCCGACATAAGTTTTGGGTAATTTAGGGCAGTATTTGGACGAAGAGACCTTACGTATATTCGACGAGCCGTCACCTACTCGCGAATTCCTAAGTTCAGCGACCAATTCTCCGCCCAATTCTTATACGCGTATTGAAAAAATTGGAGAAGACAGTTTTCCCGCTACTTGATAACCCGAATCCTGATTTACATAAAATTCGGAAGCATATACGGGGCGCAATTGATGCCGGAAACTCGTCTCTATACAATACGGAACTTGCTGAGATGAGCCTTGCGCGCGCCCTTAGCCATAAAACGCCTGGGAAAAAACCTACAAAAGTAAGCGATGGGTAAAGGGTGCTACAAAGAGTCTCCTTTCATCGATTTCAGGCAATAGGCTAGTACAGCGAAGGTGTGAGAAAGAAGATGAGTCGAAGCTTCGTGCTTGGCGGAAAGACGCAGAGAAAATGGCGGCCGATTTAGCGGCTAAGGAATTGGAGGAAACACTTGAAA